ATAAGATAAACTTTATTGTCACGACCACATAACAAGGTGTACATTTTGATTTCCTTGACACTACATAAATAATACGGTATAAAATAATATAAAACACAAAGGATTATGTGCGCTTAAAATATAGCCTAATGTAATGTAATGTAGTGGGATTTACTATAGCGCATTACACCGAAGTCTCAATGCGTTAAAATAAAAAAGAAAAAAAGAAATTCCAACAAAAGATTCTATGCTAACCAACTAAGAAAACGAACCGAAATGAAAGGACTGTAGCAGAAGATCCGCACATCATCGCACCTGTCTCTTATACACATCTAGATGTGTATAAGAGACAGGCGTAGTACGTGATCTGATATTTCTATTTATGACTACGTTTAGGCCTGAGAGATATGCCAGGCGTATCTAACGCCGGGCATACGTTAATCCATGGCATAACTAGCGAGATGTCCAGACTGGACGATTAACGTAACGCTAGCGTAAGTATTCGAGCGAAATTTTCGTATTCGTAATCACGGATTTCATTTCCTGTTTACATCTAGGCTTCTAACGGCTATGTTCAGACACAACGAGTTACGCTAGCGTAACGTTAATCAAGAGGCGTGAACTTGTGTGCAGCGTAGAGAACGCCAGTGTATTAACGGGCAATCACTGGCACCAGCATACCCAAGATTAGCGTACGTCACTGAGTTACGACATGCATCAATGATTTCAACTCGGCCAGGACTTTATCCGGGCTTGATGTGAACGTAGCTTTAGCCTAGATGTTTACGCAGCAGCAGGAGACGCTTATAATATCTTTATGCGTGGTACGCGTAGGCCTAGTACATTTAGTACGAGTGTATTTTGATACCGTTGTATCGAGTCCGCATAGTACCATGCGTGGCATTTATGACACAGTTAACCGCCATAGAATTGGCCATCACAATTATCATTAAAATAACCTAATACATTTAACTAACCTGGTTGAAGTAGTGTATTTTCTGTTCTTGTATTGTTATGACGAGCTGTTATCTTTTCCTTAGCTTTTCGTCGTAATACCGTGCTATTGACGCACTGCAAAGTGTTTTTATCCATAGAAGGAATTGATGTTGTCCTATTACCTGCAAAAAAATAATCAGACATAATTATTATCATCGCCATTAGGTCCATTATCATTAAAAACAATTCAAAGCACACAATGGGTAGTAGCCCTGTTCTTTTTTGCTTGTATTCGTTTTTTGGATGCAATTTTTCTCCACTCTGCTGTTCTTCTAGTGCAAAATAGATGTGCCGACCTAAACGCAAGCAATCCCCTACTAGATATACAGAAATACTGCTTGGGTTTGCACCAAAGCTTCTAAACTGCTTTAGTGTCAAATTATATTTAAATGTTCATGAGTCAACGACGGTAGTAAGTTGAGGCGATGCCATTACACTGCCAACCAACGACATTTATTTGAAGGAATATCCGCTCAGGCTGCCAACAACGATTGAGTGGACTAAAGCTTGCCAGTCGCTGCGTACGACGGTCGTCGGCTGACCTATCCCATGAAGAACACAACGCTACGATCATTTTTAAAATAAGATAAAATTTATTGTCACGACCACATAACAAGGTGTACATTTTGATTTCCTTGACAGTACATAAATAATACGGTATAAAATAATATAAAACACAAAGGATTATGTGCGCTTAAAATATAGCCTAATGTAATGTAATGTAGTGGGATTTACTATAGCGCATTACACCGAAGTCTCAATGCGTTAAAATAAAAAAGAAAAAAAGAAATTCCAACAAAAGATTCTATGCTAACCAACTAAGAAAACGAACCGAAATGAAAGGACTGTAGCAGAAGATCCGCACATCATCGCACCATTCTCCCGCAATTTAAGACCATTGTCAAACAATGGTTGGCCGGAACATAATTCACAGGTGCCATAATGATGCACGGTATCTATTCTAACTAATATTATAAACAAGAGAAAGAAAAAACTAATAACATATAATATAAAGGTGTGATTTTAATTTAGTTTTGAATACAACCAAGGATGTCGCATTTCTCACATCTGTAGGTAAACTATTCCAAAGAGTAGGTGCTGCTATTTGAAATGATCTTGCTCCGTAAGTCTTCAAGCGACAAGATGGAATATGCAGAAGAGTTGAGTCGATTATAGATCTAAGTCGTCTATTGCATTTGCTATCCTCTGTTTCACGGGTAACCAGTGAAGTCGCGTGAGAACCGGAGTTATATGATCGAATCGAGGAGTGCAGGTAACTACCCGAGCAGCAGAGTTGAGTTGCAGTTGAAGTTTATTAATGAGTCTCATCGGCAGACCATAAAGTAAACTATTGCAATAGTCCAGACGTGAAGTGATTAAAGCGTGTACAATTTTGAGAGCCGCATCCTCGGTCAGAAACTGGGGATGATTCTAAAATTCCTGAGATGATAGTATAATATACTAGAAAAAATATAATACAATACAAAACAATATAAATACTATCTCTAAAGGGTTGAGTTGAAAACATGAGTTGAATTATAGAAAGATTTCCTGCACCGTGTTGTCTTGCATTTAGCCTCAGTCTACCTGAGTTATTTACAACATTATCGTTGTTTAATGGATGCGAATCTTCCATAATTTTCTTAAATTGGCTAATGACATCACGAGTATGTATCTCGTCGATAACATTAACATTTCTGCCTATCATTTTACTTGCAGTTTTCATAATTTTATCAAGTTTCTTCTTATTACACTTAGACTATTATACTAGACTACACAATTAAAGGATAAAACACTTAAGATAACACTCTGATAAAAATGGAAAAGCACAATGACGATTCTTCACCGACAATAGGCAGATGGATGGTGTCGCGTTGTCTAACGCTCACAGAGGGGTGGAGGTGGGTTCGTCGGCCGACCGTCGTACGTCGTATTAGTGAGTGCAAGTCTTTACGTTGCGTCTGGAATGTGTAGGGGCTGGCAGACGCTGCAGTATTATACACCACGCGTGAATCAAGGCACACTACGTCATAGGACGTTCGTACGACGAATACATGTCCGCTCTCTGTGATCGTTTGACGACGTGTCGTCTGCACCTCGTCGAGATACACTCTATATGAAATCAACCGTCGGCACATCAGACCCGTGTTCTCGGTTTTAGAGTGGAGCTGATTTTTACTTTTATTGCCTTTTCTGACACAATCAAGTCTGTCCTGGCGAAGGCGTGCTTCTTAACCACTAAGCTATTATTAGCATGTTTTTCAAACTGGTTGAGTGCTTAGGTTATCGCCTGGATTAAAAATTTAAAGTGAATAAGACATATTCAAACTTTCTATATTTTTAACAACATCTTACTATTGCTATTCTTTTTATTTTTCATTAATATAAGTACTATTTCCCATTGTTTCAAATGAATTGTAGCTTTTTAAAATTGTTATGGATATTGATTGAAAGAAAAAAATCAATTTTCAAAAGCAATAATCATTTTTTAATGAAATAATTATAAATATATTTCTTATACTATTTAAAGTATGTGTATTGAAATATATCCTCAATCTGTTACAATACTAATTTCTAAATTATGTTTGATTTTTTTTTTTAGAGACTTGTGTTTAAACCATCATCACTTATATACATAATAGTAGGCCTACACTTTGTATTTAATTTCATAATTTTCAAATTTGAAATTTTCAAATTTCATATTTTCAAATTGAAATTTTCAAATTTCAAATTTTCAAAATTTCAAATTTTTAAATTTCAAATTTTCAAATTTCAAATTTTCAAATTTCAAATTTCAAATTTTCAAATTTTCAAATTTTCAAATTTTCAAATTTTCAATTTCAACTAGCTGCAGGTAGGTTAAATTCAAAACTACCGTGATATGCCTGAAAAATCTTTTGCTTTCAGACGGAAAATGCACTGGTTTATACAAGGTTGACTCATAGTGCGCGATGGTTGATCTCGATGTACCTTACTATTACAATTGCAGGTTTTCATTGTTTTGTTTTATTTTACTTCATAATTTTATTAGTACTATAAGTATTTTAGGTTTCCGTTGTTTTTTTTTTACTTTACACTTTTTAACGATTTTTTTGTGTCAATTTCAACTTCATTTCTGATTTATAGCAATGAAAAAAAGAACTATGTTCTGTTGTAGAAACAGACATAGTAAGTCTAGTTTATATCTTGAACTGTACAGGTCAATCAAAAGGTCTCAATATAAATCTTAAGAAAGTTGATCGAAGAGCCATACTTATATCAAGCTGTGTCTTAGTAATACGAGCAGAATGAAACGCAAAACAGACCTACCTACAAAAAGAACTATACATGCGCATACAATAGAAGCTATGAAAATTGAAACGGCAAATATGACGACCAGATATGCGTATTTGTTACGTTTAAAATGCCGACCAGATGTCTCAGATGTCGGTGTAGCCTGCAGTTCGTTGTTACTCGGTGCAGCGATACCACATGTATTCACAGAACTTGTACCCAATTTAGTATCTTGCTAGATAAAGTAGAATTTAAGAATTTAACTTTTTTCTTTGATAAGAAAACATTAATTTCATCAATGGTTTTCAATGTTTGTTAATTCTTTGTTCGGTTTGTTAATAAGTGCATGTCTTAAATGACCTTTTTCTCTTTCTTTGGGAACGGCTAACTTTGTTAATGAGGCTTGCGTTTAATAGTTCGTTATTGAGGCTGGCGTTAATAGTATGAATTGCCGAAAAAAAATTAACAAATTCAAATGAATATCTCGTTTCTTTAAAAGTTATGTTTCTGTCTTAATTGCCTGTGTATAAGACAGCGATTAAGTTCATCTTTAGTGTGTCCTTGTCTCGTGTTCGAATCCAATTGTTTCTGTATGAACATTGTGTTTATGGATATTACAGGAGTGGTGTTTTGAATATTTATGAATATTGTTATATAAAGACAAATGAATAAAATGAAATGAAAAAGTATGTCTTTTGATATTACATTCATCGGCTATTAAAAATATAATCATAATAACGTAATAATAATAATGAATAATAATAATAATAATAATAATTATTATTATTATTATTATTATTATTATTATTATTATAAAAAAGACACATACCTTGTTTCTATTTGTGCCACATATGTCAATTGTATTTCCATAATTATCAATTCCCTTTAGCGAGATTCCTTCCGCCATATTCGTTCCGTATTTTCAACCTGTAAACCAATATTTATAATTCGTAAGGATTTACTGTCTATTTTGAGCTAAGTAAACGTTCATGTTTTTGGGGCGCTGTTGGAAATTATAAACCGAAGAAGCAGTTCCTCTATAACTCCAAGAAGATTACATAAAATTATAAAAAACGATTCCGGATAGAGTTGCTCAGTTTTGAAAAATCTTAGAAGCCTGGAAATGTAGAAATTTTTCGTTAATGGGGAAAGCCTCAATTTGGCACTCTCAAAACTCATTCATAATGCTTTAATTATTGAAATTCCAAATTATTAATTTATAAAGTTGATACATTGATTTCATTGGAACGGAAAGAATGAAAAAAAAAAATAACGGAAAACAATGAGTGGAGCACGTTAAAACTTACCTGAATTTAACGTGCATTGGAAAGCTTTCAGAACAATTTAGACAAAAAAACTTATAAAAACAGATTATGCCAGATAGAAAATTATCCCTCGATATTACATAAATAAGATTACATCAGAGCAATTGTTATTTGATGACTAACATTAATGTGTTACACACATCAATAAATAAAAAAAATATCCCAATTTTAGTTTAAGGTATTGAAGCGATTATTGAATAAAATAACAATATCAATAATAATCAAGTAAATAACAACCAGATTGTTAAACAAATATGGGGTAACATATACATCAATATAAATGCAAAAACTCGTCTTTACTAAAATGGTATAAATCAGAGAATCATTAAAATTAAAGATATTGCTTGTTGAAAATAGACTGTTGACGGGGAAAGAAATACTAGAAAAGTTGGTAAATAAAGGTTAAGTGAATATACATCTCTACTTGAAGCTATTCCCAAAGAATGGATAGCAATTATAAATAATTATTCACATTTCAATGAGACATGCCTTAAATAAGTGTTTGCATCAGCATGTTTTAAGGGCTAAATCAAAAATAATATATAATTGTTTGTAAACTTTGTCTTTATTCCTCCAATTTCACAATCAAAATGGGAACTTGAGCTCATGATTGTTTAATTGATTGGAATTTGGTTTAGTTAAGAAAAGTAAAAAGAATAAACAATTTTAAGTATGCTCGATTTAATTTCAAATTTCTTCACAGAATTATCTCAACTAATAAAAGACGTTTTAGTTGGAAGCTAAACAATACTGACTTGTCGATAAACTAGAGGATGAAAAACATATTTTCCTTGACTGCTATACAGTACTGTTATGGAAAAATGATAATAAAATTATTAATATGATATTTACCACTTACCATTATAATACCACATTGAGATAGGCCTTTAAAGACATTGTGCTAAGCGTTGATAATTGTATACATGGAGCCATGTTTACGATATACACAAAAAAAAAATCCGAACTAAATATACCTGCGAGTGTAAATTACTGGAAACCTTTTATTTATGCACTAAAAAACACAATTGACTGTGAAATATATACTAGAGGCGAAAAAAACTGAAGTAAAATGGAAAGATGTCAAGAAGGTTATATATTTATTATAAAGAATGCGCAAAAACGATAACTGCCAATATCTGTACCCAATTCATTATTTCTTTACTCATTTGCATTGCTATGCTGTCTTGTTAATTACTGTTACCGTATGCCATCAATGAAGGTGAAAAAAAAAGAATAAAATGGTAACCGCACAATATATAAAATAAATGATCAATAGAAAAGTAAAACAAGAAAAATACATAAATTAAAGCAATATTGATAAGTGGTGATTGAAAGTGCTAATTCTTCTTCTTGTGTGTTATTTTGTTTAAAACTTGCCTTAAAAAGAAAATAAATCTAAGAATGAAATTTGTCGTAAAAAAATATTTTAATTTAAGTACAAAATGTTGTGTATTAACGTACTGAGAAATTGTATTGACTGCAAAATTGAAAATTAAATAATGATTATTTGTTACTCTTCCTTAAAAAAGAACTATTAAACAATGTTTTTAATCTGCTTACATTTACAAAGTTTGTATGTATATGTTGGCCTTTGTATGTATATACTACAAATTATTAAAATTATATAATGTGTACTTTGATTTGTATACAGGAAAAGGGTAATAACGATAATATATATCTTCAGTGACTAGAAGTACTTTTATCATTTTTCACTGTAAAATTATTGGTGAACACACCTTTTAAATACATTAATTTCTACGTTTAAGTTGATAAGTTTGTTGTTACTTCAAGATGAGCAAGTTAATTTTAAAATAGGTTTTTTTGAGTTTTAGGGTACTTTGCATGGGACAATCTATCTTTAATGCTAATTATACCTATTTCCCCTCCTATTCTAGTATGCAATTATTAACAAATGGAAGTTGGTATGCCTACCATACAGAAAAATCTATCAGTTTTTTCAACAGGCCTACAATGCAGCTGTTGCTGTTTTAGTAGCTAGTAAATCCTCGCTTTTTCTCAATATTTAATGGTCATAGAAAGAAAAGAAAAATACTTACTTTGGTTGAAAACTGACTTAGGCATACAAATCGTGTTCCATTAGGATGGTGTCTCTATCGACATTTAAATGGAATATTCATGTTATCGAAATAATTATAATCCTTATGTATGTATACCCAATCAGATTTTCAGCCGAATAATAATGTGATCCCAATTGGGTGTTATTTCTTGGTTACGATAAAAGTTAATTCATTTGAATGTTTGATAATTACATATTGAAAGTAACATCTGTTTTTCATGCTGTTCACGCAAGTTTAAATGTAAATACATCACTAATAGTTTTGCAATATTGTATTGAAAATCAATCATGGCTTAAGCGTTCGAATATTAAGATCAGTATAATGTAGGGCCTACTTCGTCTACGACCGTCGTTTGACAAGCCGATAACTAATGAAAAGTAAGGTAGATATTGTGGATAGACAATGATTATTAACGACAGTTTGTAATATCTTAGGATTTACTAGTGTAATTAATATTATTATTGTAAAATGTTGAGTACTACTTTACTATAGGTGGCCTCGTGCCCGTGGTTATTACTCCGTTATATCTGGATGACATGTTGCGTTGTACGAATTGATAATCCGCTAATTCAAAGGACCCGAGAACAATTTGCGATTTTTTTCGCAGTTGTTTTCAAATGTACTGAGTATTCGGTACATTTCCACGTCAGGTAGGGCAAAAAATACACCTATACATGTTTCTCCTGACGCAAATCCAGTTATTGCCTATTATTCCATTACGACAATAACAATTACTATCAACACTGCAGTACCCGCTGCTTACTTGGACTCGAATTCAACCCTGGCCATCAGGCGCAAGCTCGGTGGTCTAGAGGTATGATGCCAGGCTAGTGATCTG